TGAGCACATCACTCTCTGCTTTGAATGCTACTTAGACTTGTAAAAACCTTTTATTGAACAATCCATTTATTCTTGAAAATAAATTGTCCAAGTCAATTCTGTTAATATTGTCACAGATTGAGTTTTTCATTGTGGATTGTATCAGCCTCTACAGTGATTGCCTGTTGTCTTGGCAGAAAGATGCATTTTGACCGTTACTGTCTGCCAGTGACAATTTTCCCCTTAATTTAGGAATTCCTAGTTCTTATGAAGGCCAGCTGGAAGCAGCTAAGGCATTACAGCACCTTCCTCAGCTGTTGGCCTTGGGAATATATATTCTCTCCAGAATATATATCTTTGGCAGGGAACAGAAAGAAGGAATCTTGGGTAACGGGTGTGCATGCCAAGTGTAAGGATTGTTATATTTAACGCCTAGGATTCTGTCCTTGAAATTATGTCTAAAAGAAGTTCAAAAGTAGGACAAAATTCAAACAGGATGGGTAGATTTTATTTGAAAGAAAGAAAAACTATCAAAAAAAATAACTGTTAACTATATTTATCCAGGAATTTTTTGTAATCTTTAACAGGAATGTTTTACATGTCTTGCTGCTTGAACGGTTTTACAGTACCTTTAGGACTATGTCCAAAATGCACAGATTAACAACCACATAAAAAACCTCTGGCTGCATATTAGAACATTTAGTCTAAAACTGCAAACACAGTTGTCCTATGGGAATTTTTGCTAATCAGCTACATGGCCTTAAAGTATAGGTCATCTGAACAGTCAGAAGTAAAATGTAATTAACCACCGCAAAAATAAAGTGTAGCATTGTGCAAGAGTGACATGTGGGAGGTGGGGGGGTAGGAGAGCTATAGAAAAGTATTCTTTATTCACTAGTAATAAAAGCTGTGGGTTGGAATTAATCTGAGATCTGCTGAACTGATGAAAGTTGCTACAGATTGGTTTGGAATGTGCATTTTCTGTAAATTTTATATACGAAAGCTTTATATTAATATATATATTTATACATAAAAACATGGAAAATACAAGCAGTTTTGACAGATAGATTGCTTTCTGATTAAATTCACTGTTTAATATGTAAAAGTGAAAGTATTTTTTGTTTGCTGTAAATTGAAAGCTTTGTTACAGTTTTAAACATGGAAACTCCAGAATTATACAGGAGCTATGCAGCTTCAGCTACATACCACAAGTGCTCCCTAAAATGTGACAGCTGCACATCCAGTGAGAGGTATTTGCCTCCGGTTGAATATTTTCAGGGAGAGAAGTCCAAAAGTGAGGCAAGCTTAGGAGACAGTTTTGGAAGAGTCTGCTTCAGCTAGAATGTACACATGCATATGCAGTAAAATGAGGATCAGAGCTGTTGCTCTGAGTCACATCTAGCTGGTTTGCAGAAGTTGAATTGTCTCCTAGTGAAATTGGACCAAGTCCATACCTTTGCATAGTGAAAAAGAAAAATATTATGGATGCCTTTTATTCTCCAATATCCAGTGGCTGTTCTCAGTTATGCCAGCAGTTGGCTGGTGTGTATGCGGCACAAATTCACGTTTAAGACCACTTCGTGGAGACAAACAGAAGTCTCACTGTTTGCCTGTGTAGCTAGCAAATGCACTGCTAAATGCCATACCTGAAGTGTGTTTTCCCTGTTTCACACTATTTCGTACTACTTTGAATGTGAAGTAATATAGATTAAAAAGATATTATTTTTTCTGGCTTCCAATCAGTAGAATTCTTAATTCTGAAGTCAGACACTGCTGCTGATGATGATGTGTGAACAGGGAAGAGCACAGCTTGAGTATCAGATCCCTGGTTGATTTTAAAACACCAGTGGTTTGGAAAAAACTCTCTTTACTTGTAAACTGATCAGGCTGGCTTTGAAAGTTTTGGATTGCAAATTAATGTGGTAGCCCTGCCTCTTCACAATTTTCCCCAAACATCTTACAAAACTTAATAAAAATTCTCAATTTTATAAAATAAGAATAAATACAAAGTTAAAAATTAGTACATTTCTGTGAAAAGAAAAGAAGATAAAACAGAAGGCAAATTTCTTTCTTTATTTTCTGCTTTGCCACATATTTCCTATACGAAGTGAGACGTTTCGCTTTATCTTCCTTTAGTGTCAGTTCCTTCCTCTAAAGCTGGGATGTTAATAAGTAGGTCATGCAAGACTAAAATTAATTGTTTGCAGGATGTATACATCTTTGGATAGAAAACTACATTGTAATGCTTCATAGCTCTCTTTAAAATATCTCACAAAGGCCAGTAGCAGCTCAGTCATTAAAGGAATGTTAATTCACCAATTAAGATTTTAATGCCAAAATCTTGCCAAATTCTGCATAGAAACTCAGGGCCTAAACATTCATTAGCCAAGAGACAGATCTGTCTGCTTGTTGCATATTGTCTCAGTTGCAGTCACAAGAAGCTTTCAGGCCAGAGCTCCTTTGATATAGAGAAGATATGACTGCTGTCAGAGTGCTCTCCACAAAGGCACCTGCATACATGAATTGTTATGCATTATCAGTTAGTAGGTAAACCATTGGAGCCCATTTTGTCAGCAGAAGTCTAGTGATTTCAAGTTCCATTCTCCCCTCCAGTGCTCCAGATGGCTAGATTGCACCTACTCATTTTAGGATAACCAAAGGTTAAGGGCAGATGAATTATTTTTAGGAGATCTCATGTACCAGATCCACCTGCCTGTCCTGTCCTCCTCCTCTGATAAAAGAAGATACATACATACTACAAGCTCACACATACTCTAGCTTTGGTTAATAAACATGCAAGTGTTTTACTGAAGGGAAAAAAATACAATAGTGTGTGGAAAATTACTCTAAGATCATTGTGATAATCTTTAAAGATTATCTTCATCATATTACCTTCATCTTTCCTTCATTCTCAGGTTTTGGGCTCTTTTGTGTTCTTGGGATTTTTTTTTTAATTTTGCCATACCATTGTCTCACTTGCTATTCCATTAAAATATTCCAAAGAGAAACGTCTCTGAAATTATGGAGAGAGGAATCCAAGAAGTGGCTAGAATTTTGCCGAGATTAAGACTGACGTTCTGGCTGCTCTTGGTGATTAAATTTGGGTATGCATATGTGTGATTATACATGTTTACCATGTGCATAATGTTGGCCATTATAGGAAGTCAGATTATTTTTAGCTACACAGGGAAAAGGCAGAGAATTCAGGAAAAGGAATTCTGTTGAGACGCTTTTTCTCATGCAATTTAAAAGTAGTATACTAAATTCAAAGTTGATGACAGACTTCTACTTTGAAAAGACTTCAGTACTAGCTGGATTTCCTCCTGTAAACAGCATATTTGTTCATATGTTAAGCTGTGGTTGTTATTGAATACAAAATTATGTATTTATAATTGAATGTCTTTGCATGCCTTGGCTCATGCAGGCTGTATCTGATTAACTTTGCAAGAAATTGTAGTTTTTGATTGACTTCATGGAGTTACTCCTGATATACATCACTGAAAACAGAAGCAAAATCAATTCCACTTGCTGCCTCTGTAGAATGCCAGTGTTTGATTTCATGTGGTTACAAGTTGAAGTGTGCTTTGAACCTTGTTCAGTCCCTTGTGAAAACACCCTTCAAGTGTGTATCCTGGTCTCTTGTACCTCTCTTGGAGTCTTATGAGTCCAAAAGACATGAGTCTCACTTCTCTTGATCTATATATTCAGGTGCAAGCCCTCTGTTTTCCATTTGGCATGTGTAAATCTTTCCTCCAAGTAACAGTGTTTAAAATGTCACTCAAAAACACATAGATAACAAAACTAAAGGGTAAAAACCCCTTTAGTGTTTCCTACAGTCAAAATTTATTCTTTCTTTTGAGAAAACTATACTTCTCCATCTCCATCTTGAGACAGGGTGGTTGGGAAACTTCTTTTGATATAGCACCCTCTCCTTGTCTTTCTCTCTCATTTCAATATTTTTTCAGCTGCTTCTTGAAGCCTCCTGAGGAAATGTGTTCTGAATATTTATGTAATTAAGATTTTCTAGAATAAAAATATATTTCAGAATTATGTGGATGGTAGTGACATAAATTTTCAGCCAGTGCTCATATCATTCATTGCAAGAAATTGATTAATATTTGAAGATGTCCTCTATAGTAAATTTCTCCAAAACTTAATGAAATTTGTGGGTACTTAAGTCAAAATCATTAGCAGGTAGGAGCAAATTGCAATATATAACTTTCTGAATGAATTTGTAGTTAAAGCAATAGAACATATGTCAATGGACATAAAAATAATTCATGACCTGTGAAATTTTGTTCACAAAAAGTCAGCAAAGCGGAAAGCATGTATTTTGTTGATTTGGAATAGGTTTTCTATGCATCTGTACAGCACTGCCCAAGTTTTCATTCTAATATATTATTACTGTGATAGAAGCAGAACGTTACCGTCATTACAGTGCTCAGCTGTTTTGTTTTCTTACCTCATTCTCTGTGGCAACAAGACAGGAACGCTGATTACAGGCCAGCCAGCATGTCTCATGTTGTGTATGTCATTTGTGGGACACATAAAAACATGAAGATGTGACACAAAGCCAGGAGGCATACACTCTGCTCAGTAGAAAGAGCACTTTTGCACTGGCAGGAGTAATGGCTTAATTAAAAATGCTTCTCTCTGTCAGTGTCTGTGAGCATTTTCTTTTATTCCATCACTTTCACCTCTAATAAGAGTAAATTGGGATACAGATACAGGAGAGCAGTCTTTGCTCCCTTCAGGCATATTGCTGTGTTTCAGTTTCGTGACAGGCTCTACAAAATGGACCTTGACAGCAACAGTATGCTGGAATCAGTCCTTCAGTAGATACTGCCAATTTATTTGTGCTTTTTAAATTGATTTTCATTTAGTTAATGGAATGGAAGGCAGAAATCTTGGAATGCTGACAACTGAAGGAGTAGCCACTGACTTCACCTGGACTGGCATTTCACCTTCATGTTTAGGCAAAAATAGCTTTCGAATGAATGTGTGTCTTCTGTGTGTTCCAGTGCTCCGTCACCTGTGGCAAAGGGATGCAGTCCCGAGTCATCCAGTGCATGCACAAGATCACGGGAAGGCATGGCAATGAATGCTTTTCCTCAGAAAAGCCTGCAGCCTACAGACCCTGTCATCTCCACCCCTGCAACGAGAAAATTAATGTTAACACAATAACATCACCCAGGCTAGGTAAGCAGTCAAAATGACACATTGGCACTGGAAATCTCTTTTTAGTTCTTTCTCTCCATAGAGTAATGATGATCCCAGTTTAAAAACAGAAGGCTAGGACTCAAGAGATGTAAATTCTATGCAGAGACTCCTCTCTCTGCCTCAGTTTTCCAGTGTGTACATCAGAGACTGTACCTCAGAATGGTGAAGGGTTTTGTTGTTCAAGGAAGGACCATATTATGGGACTGTATGATATGGACACAAAACATCCGAGATGACAATATGTTTATATTAGAGACATTATAAATATATTATATATGTTTATATATATTTGTCCACTCAATTTTATCAAACATTTCTAAAGTAAGAAAATACCTTGTTTTCTCCTTAAAAGCTCTGCGAACTACGCTCTTGTGATATTTGCGAGGTCAAGGAGGCCCTTATTTGTTCTTCAAATACAAATAGCAATTTCCACTTGTCTTTAGTTCAGACGTCTACAATGCCTGATGGATTAGGACATGTAAAGGAAATTTACTAACATGAAGAGATTTGCTGTTCCTGGAGGAACTCAGGTCTCTGTTGGTCTTAAAAAAATTATGTTACTGCATAACTACAGAACTGTTAATTCTGTTAATTGTTATTTCCTAGTGGGTTGTTGAGGATGGTCTTACCATTAGCTCCCCAAATCGTTCATCTGCTTCTTGAGCATGACTGGGGAATATTCAAAGGCTTGCTGTAAGACAGCATACCCTTTCCAGATGATTTTCCAGAGCCCTTGTTAAGAGAAACCCTCCTGTCAAATAGATTACTCCTGCATGGAAAGCAAATCTAACATTTCAGGCTGTGTGTAATCCTTCCTTTAAGTCAGTGAAGGGTATTTCTCTTTGAAGTTTTTAACCCTTAAACATTTCTGTGTAGTAGTCATTGTTTCAGTTTGCTGGATGAGATGGCAGCTGTTGCTGCTGATAAAGTACTTTGTACTTTATCTTTCTTTGTACAACAGATCTCTCAGAAACAACAGGCCATCAATCCATCACTGACACTTTCCCTCTAGTGGGGTATAGGCAGCTATGTGTCACAGAGTAAAGTGAATCACAAAGTTTCACAGAAAAAATACAGTGTCAGATTCAGTAAAATTTGAATTAATGTGAAGTGCACAGAAAAAGATTGGGCTCTGTTGTCCTTATAGAATGGATTATGTAGCACTGATGTTAGTAATATACAGGTCAACTTCATCCAGCGGGAGTCAGAATCCAGTCCAGTAGAAACATTAACATCTCCAAAATACAAAATGTGATGCTTCTCTTGAATATATTGACCATTTTGGCCTCCAGTTCCATTCCTATTATGCAGTATAGATCCTCTAGATTTGGGGGTAGGGCTAGCGGAAGCTGATGTGGATTGCACCATCTCTACTCTTTTATAAATATGCTCTCAGTTTCTCTT